GACAATTTGGCCAATCCTCATGAGGAATTGGTTGCAGCAGAAAGTAAAAAAGCATGAATAGTTGTGGAGTAGGTGCCCAGAGTAAAACCTAGCTATCAAAGAAAAGCCACATTTTTCAAAGCCCAACATCAATTTTAGTAAAGCTGGCACATTTCTACACGGTATTAATGTTGGAAAGATTATATAGCCAGAAAAATTAACAAAATGTTCAGAAACAAAGCTTCACACAACTTGGAATAAAAGATAACATCCATCACATGCTCGTTATCTAACAAAAACTGGGTGAAAATAACAAAAGCATCAATGAGAATTATCCCTGTCATCCATGAACCCCATTTTTCCAAGCTCTGGTTTAGCGGTAGCCATTCAGAGGGTCTGCTGTCTTGCCAGATCTTGCATCAGTCCATGCTTTGGCAATTGTTCTCTTCATTTCATCATCCCCTTCCTCATACATGTTCTGCAGTTTGTAGAGAAAGTAGTTGTTGTCATACACACTTCACAAAATTGTTATGGTAGAATAAAAAATAAAATAAAATAAAAATAAAAATAAAAGATGAGGAACAGGAAAACTTACCTTCATTAAGTCCATGATTCCAGCCATGGGATCTCGTTCCTTGTCCAAACTTGGCTTCAGCTGTTGAAACGAAAGTGAAAGGAACCATTTCAGTTAGACTGTTTAAAGACAACCAAACAAAGATAAGCATAACACCAGTCTATTGTATTGTAGGTGATTACCTTGTCCTCTTTGTGGTGCAGATCTAACCAATTGCCTTTGGATGCTTTGAACAAAGTGATGACAACCCTTGAAGGCTTAACCAACACCTTAGACTTCTCAGGTACAATCTCCTTGCTCAATTTTGGAATGGCACATCGGTAATTCTTCCCTTGAACATCATGGAATTTGACATCAAATGAGATAGGCTTGAACTCTGTCTCCATTTTTTCCTGGTCAACTCCCTCTAAAGAGATATATATCTGAAGATGAAGAGAAAGGTGAGCAAACAATATCTGAGCAACATGATGGACAATCGAAGTTCTGAACCAGTAGGATCAACAACAATCACCAGAAAGCAAGTCCATAACCAGTCAAAAAATACATTATAACCTGTCTACCATCCACCAAAAACATGTTTATATGCTTCAAGGCCATACAAGTATTAAAAGTAAGTCATTCAGCCAATATTTTATTTTTAAGTTTCACCAAAATACATCATAACCTATCTACCATCCACCATATACCTATGAGGATAGATATATCCAAGGCAACATCTTTCTTGAATATCATTTTCCTACCTTAACTTTGTCATTATCCTGATCCCAGCTGAATGAACTAAGTGTAGAGTAAATCAGTGCTGGGTTAGAAGGCAACTTAGCCGAAGTTGATATTGGAGTTGGAATTTGGGCAGCAGGAGAAGGCTCAGCCTTCTTCGAATCCTGCATCCAAAAAATCCAGAGTCAATTATAGCATGAAAGAATTCAGGTAATAACCATGCTAAAACGGAATAACAAAAACTCAGACCAATACCAAGTAGGATTGCACATTACAAGGGATTCGCGGTGGAACTTAAATGCATTTCTGAGAGTAAATAATAAATCCCATTTTCACCAGTATTTCAAAGCATCAAGACAACCAACATGGTAAAACAATTAAGCAATTAATTAAGACAATCTACACATCAAGAACTGTCTTTAGAATCTCGAAATTTAATTAGAACAAGCAAAAAAGCACCCATGCCAGGGCAATGATAAAACCCATAAAAGTTACTCAAGAATTGAGAATAAAAATAAAATCAAAAACCATTTATGTACCTCTGACATAAATTAAACTCCACGCAATGACACCAGATTCATTAACCCACAAAATACACTAATACCCGTAAAGAGATAAAGTTGGTTCCCTCCGATTATGAACGACAAGAAAGATACGGAAGAAAGGAAAACCTTTTCTAGGTTGCTAATCTCAGATGATATGAGGGAGAGAACCCGAGGCCTCTTCGCGATGCTTTGAAGGTGCTTGAGTTCCTCCAAGTCCAAAGCCAATTCCTCCGCCATTTTCTTCCCTTCCTCCGAACAACCGCAATCAGAAATCCTTCTCCGGTATTGTACGTACAGTGAAGCGGTTACTTCTATTTATTGAGGGAGGCTGTTTAGCCTCTGGTGGAAAATGCTAGAACCTTGTACGGAATGTCGTAGGGCAAATCCTGGATTTATTGAATTTTTTTTAATAAAAAAAAATAATTCGATTTAATTAGGGTTTTCTGAGAGAAGAAGGTTCTGGACTCTTGCATACATGTCGTGGTGTCCGTTTACCAAGTAACAGATAAATTTTTGGGCTATTTGTTTGGGCTGAATTCGGTGTTTCCGGGCTCAAGCTATAACGAGCTTTCTTGTAGAACATAATAAAAATATTTTCAAATGTTTATTTTTTGTGATTAGTGTTTTACAATATGACTATGCTGTTTTACTGTTTAAATTATTTTAAATTATAAAATAAAACTCAATATCAAAGGTGTTTCGTCTTTCATTTAAGGATCATTTTTTTATTTGTAAAATAATTTAAACTATAAAATAACTTTTTTTATAATATAGATGGTCGAAAACCATCCACTAGTAATATTAGTAATTCAAAAAAACGTTTTATAATTTAGATTATTTTGAACTATAAAATACTAATGATTAATAATTTCAATATTGGTACTGCATTCTTTTATAGTCTTTATTGGAAAATATATTTTTGTTATTTTTTAGTGGCATAAAAAATTTTACTCAAAAGAACTCGCAATTAAACACATTTCTCTTATTGAGATCTGGTGTTGGACACTTTCGATTTCTCCAAACTAGGATGTTTACCTTCTTTCTTGATTTTGCATGGTAAACATATTCTGCACCTGTTGTTGCAACTGTGCTCTCCTTTGGTAATTCGAAGCCAGAATTT